CCTAATTAGTGAGGTATATGGCAACCTCTAGTGGTATACGCCTGCTTAGAAATCAGCAAACATTCCAATATATGCAGCTATAGGAAAAGCAATTGCCTGAAGTCAGCAGTCACCTTCTTGTCACTATATTAGAATGACATGGTGATGAAATGTCAGGAGAGGGCTGTTCAGGAAAAGGCTCTCCATTTCCAAGTGTCACACATACTAAAGCAGGCAGGCTAGCTGTGGAAAAGCCAAATATCATGAAAGCTCTTTCCAAATAGGTTCAAGGAATTAATGCCAACTGACTTGCAGTTCTAAGTGACAAATCAAATACCTGCACTAATATGCCAATTAGGTGTGTGGCTTTACTTTTTGGTAAAAAAAGTACTACTACTTTGTACTTGTAGAGTAGAAACCAAGCAAAGGGAAAACCTACTCTCATTGTAGATATATAATACTCCACCTGATTGTGCTTTGTTGCCTAGAAACTATCCAGCCACCTCTGGCAGTCAATTCTGAATGTACTGACATTAACACACATTGTATTTTTTTTATAATAGTCTACCAATATAATTTAAAGATAATACAAATGTCAGCACTCCACAAATATGACAGAGAGTCAGTGCAGTGCAGTATCACCCTCGGCACTATGCTGATACAATATCTCTGTGCAAGTAAAAACACATCAGTGGTAACAGCAGACAGAGAAGGGAAGGATCTCAAAGTCAGGGCAGTCTACAATAGAGGATATCCAACATTAAATGAATACTGCCCTGGATCTTATTATATAATATCTTTTACATCTATTTTTACTTCCAGCAGTTGCTTGTGATAGATTTATATAAAACTGTCAATTTTCACACTTGCTGGAATGTGACACAAATTACTCAACATCATGAAGTTGTATCTTACAGAGTTCTTAAGTACACTATATTGAATATTCTCACCTAATTCTTTCATAGAAAATAGTCTTCAGAATTTTAAACAATTGTCAGTCTCTGCTCAGAACAAGATTAGGAAAAAGCCTTCATGGAAATGGAATTACTTCTCACAATACGGAAGGAATCAGTAGAGCATCTGGTGAGGCTTAAATTATGACTGTTGTATTGCTAAGCAGATTTTAAGTTAAGTGTTTCACAGCTACTTCCATTTTAAAACCTATATCCTAAAATACTTTGTGTAATATAAAGTATCATCTTTTTAGGCTCTTTCTTCACAGAAAACACTTCTTCATTTTGGATAATGTGGCTTATTCTCTTGGAGATGCTTGCATTCTGATATTAGAACCAGAAAATGAATTTAAATATAAATATTCTGGTTTGGCATTATGGAGCAAGCTGGGCCCATCAGTGCTGCCTAAATACACTAATAGTAGCTAACAGTCTTCATAAGATAGGAAAAGGAAGGACAATGTATGCCTCAAAACATCAACCTCTTATGAAACACGTGTTTGTAAATATTTATTCCTATTGCTCTTCTCGATAACTGAAACTTTTTAAGAAAAATGTGTCAACTGAGAGGAAATCAGGTTAAAATACTTCCTTTATGGTGCTTAAGCCTGTCAGGGAACCCAAGCTCTTGAGAAAAAAATGCTACCACACTAGCAATAAAGTCTCACAGGAGACAGGCTGCCGCTGAAACTGACTCTTCCTTCCAGGCTTCCCATGTCCTAGAATCACAGGACATTTTACAACAGATTTTAATACATTTTTATAGTAGGATTTTTTGATTTATGAGCAATCATGACCATAGTGACAAATTAAATCCCAATCTTGGTGGTCATTTTTGGCTGCTGTCCAGATGTATGGTTTTCTACCTGCAAAATAAGAACTTCGGTCAACATAACACATGAAAACTGAGCGGGGGTGGGGGGTAAAGTCAAACATATGCCCTAACCCTCCTCTTGCTTTTCTGGTTTTGTTTTAAATATAAATCCACCTCCTTCATTACAATTTCTACACTATACTAATAGAGAACATCTGTCTACAAGACAGGAGCTTAAAAACAACAGTGTGGAATATCTTTGGACTATGTAAGAATATAATATATGACATAATATAGATCATATTGCCTTTTTGCTTTGCTTTTTTAGTTGATGAGTATGTCCATTTTCTCTACCAATCCTTACATTATATCCAAGTATAAAAATACAGTTCCAACCACTTGGTTGGATATTGTTTGGTTATTATTTGTAAAACTGGCCAGCTCAGATCCCATGCAAAGTCCCTCTACTAAAAGCCATACAGAAACCAACCAACAATAGCTACTAAGAGCTAAGACCTTTGAAAGAACCAAGAGTTTCAAGTATGCCAGTGCTATGTATGTGCTCTAAGGTCTCTCTTTCTCTTCAGTACATTTCAAGTGTGGCTTTGTTAGTCCTTCACACAATAAAAGAGAAGTTGACAGACAATTTCACTGTGATAGAATTTTTTTTCCCCTGTTTTCTGCCATTCACCCCTATTGCCTCCTTTCCACATGCCTCAGTGTCAGGCAATATCAGAAATTTGTCTGCCCTCAGTAAGAATATCAGCACAATTATTTCACAACTAAAATCAAGCAGCAATGTTAAAGTCTCATTGAAACTATGCATGTCTGGAGAGATGAATAAGGCACTCAAATGTCACAGCAGATTGTTGAAATGTTGCATGCAAGTAGTGCAAGAGAATTTCCGGGTGTTGAACATCCTACCTTAGGTCTTGAGATGGGTCCTAAACATCAGGGAGTCTATTTGCCTCAAGGATGCCATTACAGATGGTGAAAATGGCACGTGAGAAGGCTGGAAGAGGCTGGTGTAGGGGGGAGCCTCACAGCACATAAAAGCTCCTTTTACATTTCTGAGTTGTCAGGTTGAGGTGAGACGTGTGTGCAAAGGTACTGAGGTTGCTGCTTCTCTACTGATGGCTGCCACCTCTTTTGATAAGCCAGGAGACCACATGCTTAGACACTTGACAACCCAGTTAAACCAAAATAATCCAGCTGAGCTGACTTTGAAGTAGGAGTTCAAATTTTCAATGGTAGATGTCCATAAACTCAGAGCATTTTGACAAAAGCCAAGCCACAAAGAAATAAACATGCAGTTACACTAGATGACTACAAGATTATTGAGTAGTGATAACATACAGCTGTAACAGGACTAGCAAGATAACCTCTTCCTGCCCCAAAAATAACCTCTTTCTGCCCCAAATATAACCAGAGTAAGACATCTCGCTTTGGTCTGCAGAAACAGCAGTAGAATAAAATGGAACAAATCAGAAACCAGGAACACAGGGAAAAAGCTCTGAAGCGGAAAACAAAGTGTCACACTAAAAACCAGACCAAGTTTCTGAGCATCAAGGTAGCGTATCTCACACCATGCCAGGATCTGTGACTCCAGAGGTCAATATTTGCAAATGATTGGAAAATGCAGACTCCATGTCTATGATTTGAGAAATTAAGAAAACAGATATTTAACACAATGTCTGTGATATGTAATGGGAAAACATATTTTCAAATTCTGAATTTGAATTCTGAACACCCATTATCACTACCAAAGGTATGGAAACCAACACAAGAAAGACATGGACCAGTTAGAACAAGGCCAGAGGAGGCCACCAGGATGATGCCAGGGCTGGAGCAGCTCTGCTGTGAGGACAGGCTGAGAGAGTTGGGGCTGTTCGGCCTGGAGAAGAGAAGGCTCCAGGGAGACCTTCTAGTGGCCTCCCAGTACCTGAAGGGGCTCCAGGAAGGCTGGGGAGGGACTTTTCATAAGGGCAGTTAATGACAAAACAAGGGGAAATGGGTTTAAGCTGAAAGAGGGGAGGTTTAGATTAGATATTAGGAAGAAGTTCTTCACTGTGAGGGTGGTGAGCCAGTGTCCCAGGTTGGCCAGAGAAGCTGTGGCTGCTCCTCCCTGGAAGTGTTCTCGGCCAGGTTGGATGAGGCTTTGAGCAACCTGGTCTAGTGGAAGGTGTCCCTGCTGCTGGCAGCGGGGTTGGACCTGGATGATCTTTAAGGTTCCTTCCAACCCAAACCAGTCTGGGGTTCTATGATTCTATGAAAAAAAGGCGAAGATCAAGCAGGGAAAAGGCTGAATGGATTCATCCTGGTTACTTGTATACTCTTCCAACCAATCATTTCCAAAATACAAGGGTTCAGAAAGAATTAAATCCTAAAGAATAGTGGTTTAAGAACAAGATGTGTTAACCCAGTCCTTCACAAAGTGCAGAGCCCTGCAATCATCATTTACTTATTTCTGGCACACTGTCTGTGTGCCAGTACACAGCACACTTGACAAGCACTGTAACAGTTTATTCCAGATCACATTAACAAGGACCCTCCTGGTTTCTCTTGGGAGTGTGGAGCAGGGCTGGCTGCCAAGGAGAGAAGGATGCCTGACGTGTGATTACCTGCCCTTACAAAGTAGTCTGCAGCAGAGATACAAAATAGGAAAGATCAACTTCAATATCTGCTTCTTAAAAGTTATGTCCCTGTTTTAGAACCAGAGCAGATATTGACTATTTATTACTACACAGGCTAATAAACTTTATCAGTTGAAAAGCATGGGTGTAGCTTTTATTGCCTATATTTGTGGGGACTTGTCACAAAATGATCATTGTGTTATGTCTGATTTAACAAATGGATCTTCTGGTAAATAAGCAGGAAGAAGCAGAAAATCCAGTCTGCAATAGTATTTGAGAACCACCACTCTGGGTATTTTTATAATAACGTGATACATGACTATAAAAACTTTAATTCACACAAATCCCTGAAAAACTTATCATTTGAAAGCAGCTACTGAGCTGTTCTCTTAAGAGAATCAAAAGTCAGAAGTTTCTCAGACAGAGAAACCAGTATCTTTTGTGCATTCAGAAAAGATTCCAGTATAAGGCAAATAAGATTTATTCTGGGATTTATTCAGTTGTTTCACCTATTTATTTCATCAGTATCTATTAAGGTATATAAAATTCAAGTTTCTCTACTGCCGAGTTTCAGCGAAGATAAATTTCAAGAGAAATCTATTTCTGAAGTTTTATATTTACCTGATAATCCTCTGAGCAGCATACTGATGAAGTAAGCGGAACTGTGCTGACATATTTGCTAAGGCTGCCAGACAATTCGTATGAAGGTATTTGTCCTGTGAGAAAGAAGAGGAAACAAAAAACCAACTCACATCAAACCGTCTGTCTGATATACATTGACACCCAACGCAGGAATGATTCAAAAGACTGAGTACTGTATGTTGGTTTAAAGGACATGGTCAAAAGCATACAGCAGAAATGCAAAGCGTATATATTTGGTGAGGTTTTAAATATGTTTTCTAAAAATATAAGGCTTATAAAAGAGTGATTGTTTCATATCGATTTCAGAGTGTATGTCTACATGTATACACACATATATATATGTGTATATCTTCATACCTTTAGCCACGTTGATTTACAATTACATCATTCATGTAATAAATAATGAAAAACATTTTCCTCCTTTCCCTTCCTCTCTCTCCTTCTTGTAGTTTATCCTAAAATTTTCTGCTCCACAACTCACCTCCCTATTAACTCTTTCATAGCATCCTATATATCCCACAACTATAACCATACTATGCTTCAGAGACCTGCTCCCCTTGTTAGCATCCCTGAAAGCATTTAAGCAGATAAGCATTTTAACGATGGCTCTATCAAAGTCAAAGGTTTTCACAGAACCAAACTTGTCCACTTATGAAATCCAACAGGGATTTATTTTCCCTACTCAAGTCTAAAATATGCATTTACATAACATAACGTAACAGATTCCAAATCCTACAAATATAAGCCAAGAATGTCCTTGTTTCTTCCAATTCTTTTGATCATAAAAGTGATATTATTTTTTCCAATTTAAAAGATATTTAAAGTTTTTTTGTTCTACTTTTTAATGTAAAAACTTCTGTGCCTTTAATTGTTGAAAATACTCAAAAGTGTATGATACCATGCTTTTACGTTTGAGATAAGGTACAGAATCAAATGCTTGAAAAATGCACAAAACCAATCTGATACGAGGCTATAAAGTTGAAGCAATTTGCTTTGCTAGAGCTCAAAAAGGTTTTATGGTCCAGTCACTGTCCCTACTTCATAAAAACGCTAACAATAAATAGAGCTGAAACTCCTACTTCTGAGTAAATGAACAGAGACAAACAACCTATAAGGAAATATTTCTTCTCATCAACCTAAGGATCTTTTCATCTGAAGATGAGAAGTTCAGTGCCTGAATCAAAGACTTTAGAGAAACTTACTGAATTAATTGAATGATAATACAGACATGGTATTACAAGTTAAGAACCACTTAATATTGTGCTTAGCTAATACAGCTGATCTTCCCAATCCTGCCCTCCTGTAAATTCAGATGCCAACTGGTTGCAACAGAATTAAGAAAATCCCACAGCCTGTTTGAAATTGAATTCATGCTATTGAAGTTAGAAATCCACATCCACACTACGTGCTTAAGTGCTACACGTAACTCTTACCCTTGTCCGTGTCATGTTGTACTGGATGGTCCTTATCACGACAAGTATCAGGAGACTCCCAAGTGAGATCTCTGTTAAGACACGCTCAGCATACCAAGTGATATTTTTCAGTATCTGAAAAAAAAAACCAACCCAGAACAAAGTTCTTCAGCACCTAGGTCTGAATAAGAACACAGAAAGTTGTCTGGGCTCTAGCATTCCTTAAGATAAGGTAAATTAGCTTCCAGTCTCAAATGTGACCAAAACTATTGTATTCTAAAGTAAGAATTAAAAAAAAAAAATTAAAACTCCAGACTTCTGCAGTATTATCACCTGGCAGATCTCATCAGCTTTATTATAAGTCATGTGGAAACACACTAAGTGTAGAAAGATGATTAAATCTGGCAATTCCTTAATTTCTTCGCCCTGTGACACCACACTCCTATATTCTTTTCGATCTTATCCTTTACACTTTATAAAGTCTCCAGTTCCACCCTAAACACCTGAATAATGTTGTCAGTTCCTTCCCATTTTCCCTCATTACAGGTCGGGCAAGAGGCAGCAGGTAAGAGCTCCGACTGATCGGCAAGAGCACACACGCTGAAGGTCGTGGGGTGGATCTACAGGTTAACTGTTGACTTCAAACTGAAGCCTTTCTCTTGCCAAGTGTGAGGTCTCTTCCCTTCGTAAGTCAGAGAAAGCCATCAGCTAGGTTAAGAACTTCATATCTTTCAGTGCTCTCTGCTGTCAGGGTGGATGAAGTTTAGAATCACAGAATCATAGAATGGTCTGGGTTGGAAGGGACCTTAAAGCTCATCCAGTTCCAACCCCCCTGCCAGCAGCAGGGACACCTTCCACTAGACCAGGTTGCTCAAAGCCTCATCCAACCTGGCCATCAACACTCCCAGAGAGGAGCAGCCACAGCTTCTCTGGCCAACCTGTTCCAGTGTCTCACCATCCTCACAGTGAAGAACTTCTTCCTAATATCTAATCTAAACCTCCCCTCTTTCAGCTTAAACCCATTTCCCCTTGTTCCATTCCTTTACTACCATTTCTGAGATTACTGCAGATTGATCCAATGCCTTCTTTCCTCTTAGAATATTCAGCTGACCAACCTGGAGCAATACAGCAAACATAAGCACAAAAAAACCCCCTTGCTTTAAAGAGTTGGTAAAAATGAGTCAACAGGAACTGCCCTAAAAAACATGGAGAAGATCCTCTATCAATTCAGGGTTATTCTGAACAAATAAGAATTTATTGGGTCAAAACCAGAATTTGCTTAACAAGGACTATTCCACACAAAGCTAACACTCTGTATCATCTTCAATATATTAAGTATGTTTCATTGAAAGTTCATGTTCAATGAAAACAATGCAGATGTCTTAAAAAACCCAAACTCCATCAATCTCAACAATCAACTTTATTAATTAAACCCTTCTCTCAGAAAGCTGTATGAAAACATTTCTGACTATATCCTTTCTTCCCACCTCTCTTTGGATGACTGAAAAGACTTGTCATCCTCCATTTTACATCATTTCTGTGCTTAGAATTCCCTCTTCCTCCCGCTAACAAGTTTGCTCAACAAACCTTTTTTTTGTAAGAGAGGATGGAGAAGTAGCAACTGTCCTATGAGGAGATAGAGAGTTGGCCACTGACTTGCAGAAGACAAAGGAAAAGGGAACATTGGGAACTACTCCAAGCTGCTGATGATTATTCACTATTTACCCCTTCTGTCTGAGACATATATTCATATAAACTCTGCTGGAAAGAACCATAATTCTATCTGTGAGAAAGAAGGGTATCTGGAAAGCAAAATTAAAATCATATGTATATATTAATTTAGTAAAATTCTGTAATATTTTAAAAAACAGCACTTGGGAGATAATGCTTTCAGAATCTAAAGTCTCATACAACAAATTATGTAGTCACGTGGTTGCTCATCACTAAAAGAGCACAGAACCAAAATTCAAAGAGGTCGCCTCAAATTTTTAGGCTCTACAGTTGTCAATTTGACATTTGAAATGCTGTATGCTACATATTTAAGGGAATTAGTAGTTATGGCCATGCACACTGTTCAGCTCAAAGGCAATATATTAATCAAGCTTTTCCTCTTCACCCAGACTTGAGACGGAAACAGGAGACCAAGAGGTATTTTATTAATACAGCTTCTTCCATTCAGCCCAGAGCCTGGATCTGTGAAAAACTTTCAGAATTACTTTTATATTCAATTTACATATTTTGCAAACCTTTGCATAGAGGTTACTATATTTTGAGAAGGAATAGAAACAAAGGCAAAGGTGCAAAGGTGTTTTGCAGATGAGGTGAAGAGAGGACAGACTGGAGTTTACAATCAGAAAATATTGTATTAACTTTGAAACACATATCGCCAGTCATTAAGGCTCGGTTTTGTCTCCCCACAGCATTACACACACTGAACACATTTAAATAACAGTTTGCTTTGTTTCATAACTATTATGGAAATTATGAATCATATAACTGTATTGGAAATGGAAAGAAATTAGTTATCCCATCCTATTGCCAAAACAGTATTGGTCTTCAGAGCCTACACTGCATAAAATAAATGTTTTTTAAAAAACATAAAAATCTTTGTTTAGTCCTGTTTTACGTGACTCAAGCAATCAACCTTAAACTAGTTAGGTTATTCCAGAACTCACATATCTCAATACTAATAACTTTTTTACACTTGGGTTTTAGTTTACCACATTTACCAGTTTAAACCCATTACTATTTGTGATACGTCACTTGACCATCAGAAGCACTTCTCCTCCCTTAAGATTTACATTTTTTGCCTGGATCACATTCTTCCATTTATTGTCATTTTGGCTCACCATGCAAAATCTGCAATTTTTTTTCTTTTAAATTTTGCAGGTGGCAAATCAAAGGCTTTTAAAAAAATGAAATGCTGCAGCTGTAGTCAAAATAATGGCCTGCCATGAATATCCCTAATGTCTCTATAGAGATCAAAATTATACTGACTCCTGAATCACCACCAAAAACTGTCAGACAGTCTCTCAATCTACAAGCATCTCTCTCTGTATCCGTGAGCAAACTCTTTAACAAGCAACAAAAACATAGCTGAACCTTGATGTGCTGCACTTAACCACCCTTATGTATACTTTTATTTTTTAATCCGTTGTAAACAAAAATCAGAACTGTCAGAAGATCTTATTTAACAGGGATTTTCCCTACATTAAAACCTCCTTCTCTCTACAGCAGTCACATTTACAACCCATGTCTTTAGCAGAAGCTAAGGGATTAATTGACTTAGCACGTCAAAGCATTTCAGTTAATGTAAGTGTGCCCAAAAGTATACTGAAGATTCAGTGCCTAACCTGATTATTATAACCAGTTGCTACTTTAATAAAAAGAAAAACAAATCAAATCCTAATGCTAGTGAACATAGTTGGTTACTAATCATCTTCTGACACTTAAAAATAACAAATCCAAAGTATGTGCTGATAGGATTTATGCATAGTTACAAGTTCTTAATTCTTGAAATATTTAATACATGATAGTTTTCATGCAGTGGAATATGAGGAGGCTATATAGGAGTCCTACAAGAACATTAACAGTGCAGTTGACACTGCAGATGACAACTTGTTTTTAAATAGAACACACTTCTTTGGAGAGAAAAATTAAAAGTTGTGTTATAAAAAGAACACTTAACTAGGAAGTTGTTCTTCTCCCTTTCTCAATTATCTTCCTTCTGACTTGTTTCCTATCCTCCTTCCTTGTTTCTCTTCCATCAGTCCACTTTGGTATTAAATTTTCCCCATGCTCCTCGAAACTGGAGGTTTGGAATATCACCAATATAATCAGCCAACAGACCACTGTTGATCAATCCTTCTGAATATGAGTCACAGTGTTTGATGTATTTTACAGCATGCCTATTGCTGAATTTATTTTCTAGTCAGCAGCCTTAATTTTTGCAGTAAGACACACACACAGAGCACATGACTCCCACAAACCCCATAAACTAAGCAAATTATTTATACTGCAATCTGTGAAGCATCAAAAATGTTAAGTACTACACTGTTCTGAGGACGTAGTAGGTACTCAAACAACAGAGTAATGCAAGTTGTATTACTACTGAGAATGGAAAGGTTAGACTAGAATTGTTTCATGTCACCTGCTCTGAAATACATACTCAAAATCTTACATATAATTCTGCTTTGTTTTATTCATCAACTTTTGCCCTTAAATCCCAAACCCGTATGTCACAGGCTCTCTTTGCTTTAAGGTTTCTTTTCATTATCAGTTGGGATCAAGTCCTCCCTCCTTTCCACACCATACTCCCATCTATGCCTTTAAAAGCATTTTTATCAGCTCCAAATACAAAGCAAAGTAAGATCTATCCTATCAAATCAAATATATAGCACAGTGACAACGAAGACCTTTGAGAAACACATCCAACAGTTTCACTCACAGCAAAATTTGCAGTTGAGATGGACCTGTATGTGATTAATCTGAAACATTCAAAACAGCAAAATTAAAAGGAAAAATATATATATATATTTTTTTTTTTAAAGGAAGAATTCTCATAAGACTTCTCCTTTGGAGCAGGAAAGCAACCTCCACCATCACATACTTGATGTTCTCATCTTCCCCCAGCCTGATGCCCCTGTAAGTGCCCAGCTGCCCAGGCCACCCAACCCTGTGGTACTGGTTTTTTGGTGACTCCACTGCAGAGCACCCCAAGCTGAGCTCTGCAACAGGTCCCATGGCTTTCCCCAGCATTTGTGACAGCAGCATTGCTGGCAAAATTAGAGTATTATTTAACACAAGGTGCTGGGGAATACTGTATTTCCCTTAGTACTGTTTGGGATCCCACAGTAAGTAATACTTAAGACAAAATTGAACGTACATTTTATCAAAACTCTCATACAATAGATTCTAAAGCAAAACACAAGTGGAAAAAAAAGAATCCTATGAAGCTTATTCTAGACAAGGGTAATACTTTACACATACTATCTTTAAAATGCCTTTTTTGTTGTTTTGGGGGTTTTAAAAAAATATTATTTTAACCTTCCAGGCTCTGTAAATCCTACATGCATGTACATTTCTTTCATTTACCTCCCACTCTCTTTCTCGACTTAACTCCATGCCTCTCAAAGCACTTTCATGGCACAAGAGACATTTGAAATAGCATCTTAATTAGGATCCATCAAATTCTCCTCCCTCACTTTATTCCTAGCATACCTGAAAGCCTCTCTCTCATGAAGTATTTCAGGGAAGGCTGCATTTCCTCAAATAACCATGTTCTGTACCAGCCTATGCTGAAAGAATTTGGTGTTTTTAGATGAATCTCCTAAAAAGGAGGAACCTCGTAAGTTGATTCTTACCCACTTCATATATTTATGCTTTAAAAACCATGCACACAAAGGCCTATGCAACAAGAGATACATCTCAAATATCACTACAAAATAGGGACCTAAAGAAGTACCTACCTAAAGAAGGCCAATGGCATCCTGGGGTGTATTAGAAAGGCTGTGGTTAGTAGGTCAAGAGAGGTTCTCCTCCCCCTCTACTCTGCCCTGGTGAGGCCACATCTGGAATATTGTGTCCAGTTCTGAGCCCCACAGTTCAGGAAGGACAGGGAACTGCTGGAGAGAGTCCAGCACAGAGCCACCAAGATGATGAAGGGAGTGGAGCATCTCCCTGCTGAGGAAAGGCTGAGGGAGCTGGGGCTCTTTAGCTTGGAGAAGAGGAGACTGAGGGGTGACCTCATTAATGGTTATAAATATGTTCAGGGTGAATGTCAGGAGGATGGAGCCAGGCTCTTCTCAGTGATGCCCAATGGTAGGACAAGGGGCAATGGGTGTGAGCTGGAACACAGGAGGTTCTGCTTCAACTTGAGAAGAAACTTCTTTCCAGTGAGGGTGCCAGAGCCCTGGGACAGGCTGCCCAGGGAGGGTGTGGAGTCTCCTTCTCTGGAGACATTCAAAACCTGCCTGGACACCTTCCTGTGTGATCTCATTTAGGTTCCTGCTCTGGCAGGGGGATTGGACTGGATGATCTTTCGAGGTCCCTTCCAATCCCCAACTGTGTGATTCTGTATTCCAAAATTAAAAAAAGATCTAGCCACTGAAGACATATTCGGTAGGCTCAGGAAATGCAGGTTAGCAGGAAAGCTGATGCAGTTTGAGATACAGAGGTCATTTCTGTGCCATTTATGAAAAGAAAAAATGAAAGTTGAGATCATTAATTTTATTTTTTTAAGTATCTTTATAATCACATGCTACCTAGTACCTGACTTTTTGTCAGCAGTTTCTTATTTCCCACAGGGGAGCTAAAGTGAAGCCAATGATTACAACACCAGGTTGCACAGGAAAGTGTCCAGGGGGGAGCTAAAGTGAAGCCAATGATTACAACACCAGGTTGCACAGGAAAGTGTCCAGGTGGGGTTTGAACATCTCCAGAGATGGAGACTCCACACCCTCCCCGGGCAGCCTGTCCCAGGGCTCCAGCACCCTCACAGGAAAGTTTTTCCTCATGTTTAAGTGGAACCTCCTTGTGCCCACTGCCCCTTGTCCTGTCACTGGCCACCACTGAAAAGAGTCTGGCCCCATCCTCTTGACACCCGCCCTTTAGATATTTATAAGCATTTATAAGGGCCCTTCTCAGTCTTCTCTAACTGATACGTGATCCGTGGGCAGGGGAGGATGCAAACAGCCCAGCTGGCTCTGGGAGCAGCAAAATGAGAATATTCAGTCACCACTGACATCAGGCCACCTCCGGCTATGCATCTGCTCTGCAGATGGAAATAAGACTGTTCCCCTTCCCCCTGAGATTCCTAATTTGATCAAATTTAGTCAGATTATCAGCAGCAGAGCCCTAGCACAAAGACCACCTGCCAAATGTCAAGTTCCTAATTCAAAACATGAAGTTACCAGAGCTTGTTCAAGAACACATTGACAGTTGTAACCATGGACAAGACATGTTCAGGCCCTGGTCTCACTCCAGAAATGGCCAATGGTTCTCAATGAAACTTTAAAAACACCAGTCCTAGAAAATTACATTCATTGAGACAACTATGCCTTGGAATAGTCCATTACTTTTAAAAAAACCCACCAAAATTAAAGGTTAAAAAGTTACATACCAGTCCCTGCCACCTTTACTCTCTTCTCCCCCATAAAAGAAAGCAGGTAGGCAATGAAATGCCTATTTAAAAAACAACAGCAGCAACGGCCACCGTCCCTCACCTGGTTTTGATTTTCAGAAGCATGAAACGTGAAAGTACCTTAAATTTCAAAATCATCTACCTAAAATCAGTGCCTCGGTTCGAACAATCTCATTGGTTTGCAGATAACATTAAAAAGGAAAAAAAAGACAAACAAAAACCTCGGACCTGGTGTCGTCTCGCAAAATTAATTAATAAAAATAAATTAAGAGGTTTTGATTAATTATTCTTTTTAACATCAGGCTCCTGGACACCTACAAAACTCTGGGTGCAAAAACTACAGGTGCAAAGAAAAGGAACTCGGTTCTTTATCTACTGAGCACTGAAATTCTCAGTCTCAGTTTCCCATAACTTTGCTTGTGGGATATTTCTTAACACACTAGAAGTAAACACAGTTAAATTGTGACTTACAGTCTACCACTATTTACTGCAGCATAAATAAATACTATACTAGTGGTATAGGTTATTGCTACATAAGGTACTATATGATTTTATTTTGACACTGGATGTAATTTTATTTACAGTTTCATAAATCAGAGAAGAAAATCACAAATACTTGTCCCCTTTAGGGAATTCTTGCATTTACTCATTAACTCTGTTGTTGTTATTTTTACTAGTGAGAGAAATTGAGCTCTGCATGGTTGCAGGGACCTAACTGCATCAGGGCAACTGCAGGAACAGGACCTATGGTTTTGATCACGTTTTCCAGGCAGTTAAGATCACATTCATTTTAAACAAAAAATGTTTCAGCAGTCAAAAAGAGTTTCTGTGGTTTCCTGAGCTGTTTACCAGTTGTTATAATCACGAGATTTATAAAACTGTGCTTACTAAAATTAATCTTAAAAATCAATAAATAAATGTGGGTTAAATACCACAAAAGAAAATAGCCCATAAATGGAATGGGCAGTCACGCCTCTTATAAGAACAGTACACACGCTACACAGCTGCAGAGAGAAAAACAGGTTGATCTAAAATACATCAAATCCTTTTTTTCTTTATACATTACCCAAGTGATGGGGAAAAAAAAATAATAATCCTGCTGTAATTGCTAAAATTTTATAAATATGTGCAGTGAATAGGAGTTTCATTCTAGTTGTGTAACTGATGCTAGATGTCCACATTTTACAGAAACACCTATACAGCTTTCCTGACTATCACTTTGCTGCCCTGTAACACCCTCTCAGCCCTTAGGTGATGTGAAGTTGATATTTAAGAAAAGTATGAGACTGATTTCTTACTTTATAGGTAGGTTTTGAATGGGAACTTGGTCATTCATACCTGGAAACATCCATTTAAATAATTAAAAAAGATGAGTGAGAGGCAGGGATTTATCAGTATGACTCTGAATCCTTTTTCCACAAAGGGGGGCACTAACTATACTCACTCCTCATCACGGTATCTATAGGAACCCATTACCCATACATCCATTCCCCAGCAGTTCACAAGACAAGATGTAACGCTCACATTTGTATTCTGAGATCCACATCCTCCTGTAAAGTTCAGGAATGAAACAAGTCAATCAAGAAAGTAACTTTGTTTTTTTAAAGTATAGCAGAATATGGTTTTTCCATAAGATAAGGAATCATTTCTGTGAGGAATACTTAAGATTTCATATCACTGTCATCAACTCCCTCGTCTGTATCGTAATTTATTTTGGTGACTTTCAGAATGCACAGTTGAAGTTTTGAACAAGGGGAGACCTCCTCTTTCTCCTTTGTTGCATCCAATCCATTCATGTGACACCAAGATTAAGAGCAGGGGGCAAGAAAAAGCCTTCCAATTCAATAAGAAGAGCACTGCAAGGGTGCCATTTCCAACAAACAGGCTGGAAATCTACCTGCCATAAGAGTTCTGTTTAGATACCTTGATGCTTTCTTACAGTTTTTGGCATTTCATTAATTTCACATAACCCCAAAAACAGAGTTTCCACGTCTCAGTCAAAAAATTAAATAAAATCAGTGCAGATATATTCTACATTACTGTAGCTTTAGAAGCTAGGAAACTGGAAAGTAATTATCCAAGGTATTCTCCAGCACAGACGGTCAAGGCCCATCAAAGCTAGTCAAAATTCGGATCATATTATATGGACAACATAAAATAGATATTAATCTAGCAGAAAGAAAAAGAAATGCCAAGTAAGGAAGTAACATTCAATCTGGAAAATAAAACTCCAACTAAACGATCCTCTCAGCTGCGTCAAACTCGTTAAGCAAAGTTTTTAAAGAAAAATAAAAAATGTTTTTTGGTTTTCTCTCTCTTCTAGCCTCCCAATTTCCATGGCAAAAAAACTCAGCATCTTTTAGCCATCTGACTGGTTATTACTATGTTAATTTGCAACAAGAAACACCAAAAAAAGACATAAAAAAAGAGGTATGTGCAGCAACTCCTCTGCGTTCATTCACTTTACTCAGGGAAGTTCTGAAATGGCTCTTCTAGTTACTAGTCCTTATGAAAGAAACACATATATGCCATCAAATTTGGACGAATTTGCTGAGGAAACAGATATACATATGCATCTTTAAAAAAAAAATTATTATTTAAACAATTTTTAGAGCTGAGGAATTATCTACCAGAACAACAACTCACCACTTCATGGATGGATCGGTTGAAGCCATCATCCTCTGTAAGGATCAGTAAAATTATTAGAGCCATGTAAACATGGTGTGAATTCCTTTCTTCAACGTGATACAGAATTTCAAGAATTGGCAGAACCTTTAGGGAAGGAAAAACCTGTGTATTAGCTCAGTCTTTCAAATACCTCAGACAATAAACAGACGAGGCACTAAACCTCCCGTGTATCGCCCTGCCCTTAGCAATATCATAGCAATTTCTCCCTCCTGAAATAACCACTCCTAAACAGTGACGTACAGAGTTCAAACACCTTCCATCTGTTTTATTCTGTCTCCACAAGAGAGTCTAAACAAACCCTTTCTTGTGGGCAGATATGGAATCTTGATTCTTCATAAATGAGATTTCCAGCCATACCAGTTACCATAGGCTCTGAAAGCTTGAGTTCCTCTCCAGACTATGGGAAAATAAGGTTGTTAAACAAGATTTTCACATGTTCAAGAAGAAAACAATTGTTTCTAACCATTTGTGCTAGCACAAGCCTCGTCTGAAAGGACCTTCCTCATCAAATATAGCCAGGCATATTGGAGCTGAGGTGCACAGAGGCATTTCGAGACCTGAAACTCAAATCCTATTTTGGCGTGTGGAGATAATCCCAGAAAAGAACCAGTTTGGGTCGGGTTAAAACTAGAAAATGCCTGTTTTTCCAATTTGAGATAATACACCGAGCCAAAGAGAACTGACATTACAATGAGAGTTCAGCCCAAGGTCTTGCAACATTTCCACCAGGATGAACAGCTCAAGCCAAAGTCTTGCAATAATAATGAAAATGAGATTTCATTGCAACAGCAAGCATACCTGAATGCTAGTCTAAAGTTAATCCAGATGCAAACATTGTCTCTCTACCAAGTGAAAATTAGCTTTCCACTGGCTCAGTACAACGTGGCTTCCCCAGGCTGCAGAAATAGGCCTAAATCACAAAATACCCTGGAAAAAGGAACTGGAGAAAACTCTCAGTTCCAAGATAGCGGATGAGATGCAGAATTCATTCCAAGAAACTTCTAGACACCTAAAGACTTGCTGTTTTTCAAAACAGGGTGACTGCTGCAGGATGAATCATGTGAAACCTATTCTGGTGAGCGCCCAGGACACTGAGTGCTTCACAAGCCTCTGAAGTTACCAGAATGTTCTCTTGCCATCAACCAGTCCTAAAACAGTTGGAATAAATTAAAACACACAACAGTTTCTATTAAAACCAATGAGATTGATGTAAGGGCTGCAGGCCACAAAATCTTTTGACAGATGCTTTGGCCAAGGTCAAGACAATACCACAACAGCAGCAGAGGGAAGAAATATTTACTCAGAATCACAGAATCGTAGTAGTTGGAAAACACCTCTAAGATCACCAAGTCCAACCATAAACCCAACACTGCCAATTCCACCTCTAAACCATAAACCTGAGCACCTCGTCTGCCCATCTTTTAAATACCATCAGGGAAGGTGACTCCACCACCTCCCTGGGCAGCCTGTAAACATCCTTCCTTTATCATTTCAAAGGATCCTTCATAAGCATCTCTCCTCAGTTAGAACCACAGCTGATCCCTTTGAGTTTTGTGAATACAGGTCTTGAGAATAAAGACCAAGTTTTCCTAGAATATCTACTTAGCGTATAGCAAAAAGACCAGGTTGGATGAGGCTTTGAGCAACCTGGTCTAGTGGAAGGTGTCCCTGCTGCTGGCAGGGGGGTTGGAACTGGATGAGCTTTAAGGTCCCATCCAACCCAAACCAGCCTGGGATTCTATGAAAAAACATTAGTCCTTTTCCTTGGGTGTAGAAAAAGGGAGACAAACATCACTGAATTAGTCCACTGTTCAAATTACTTCCATCTCAAATATTTATAGCATATGTAGCTTTGCATTGCATGAGCTGAAAGTCATTTCCAAGTCCAAGCATTATGATCATAGAATCATAGAATGGTTTGGATTGGAAGGGACCTTAAAGATCATCTAGTTCCAACCCCCCTGCCAGCAGCAGGGACACCTTCCACTAGAAGTGGAAGCTACATATAACAGTTATAAGTGATATAACACTGATAAGCTACATATAACAGCTGGCAATATAAAACTAACAAGAACTGCATTTACAACTTGACTTCACAGGGAGAACAACAAAAACCTTTCTGGAGGTAACCAGTGGAACAACTTCTGAGTGTTTAAGACAGCTCCCAAATACCCGTGTACTCCTTCAGAATGGCCCAACACATCTCCTCTGTCTATGCACATTAATATTATGTCAAACTGCAGCTGAAAAAGGGTGTTCAGGTTCCTTAAGTGCTCCAAGTCCTGAAAGTATTGAACAGAATCACAGACTGGTTTGGGTTGGAAGGGACCTTAAAGCCCATCCAGTCCCAACCCCCCTGCCAGCAGCAGGGACACCTTCCACTAGACCAGGTTGCTCAAAGCCTCATCCAACCTGGCCGAGAACACTTCCAGGGAGGAGCAGCCACAGCTTCTCTGGCCAGCCTGGGACAGTGTCTAAAAGTGCTTTGTTACAAACTACATTAAAAAAGGGTACCTTGGTTCTGACATTGAGACATTATAGACAATTCCATATGAAAGTACTTTTACTATGACTTCAGAGTAGGTACTGAAACCACACTCACTCTGAAGAGCGATTTGGCTCTCCAGATCACTGCACTCAGTCCTGCCACTTCCCATCTCCACTCCCCTGGCCATGTTTTCCTTCCACTCCTCTTTCAGATTTCTCTCCATCTATATACCAGACCAAACTCAAAGAGGTAAATGGCAACTTAAGTCCCTCTACCTGCCATTTCCAGATTAAAACTGAATCAATTAATACAGTTTCCACAACCCTTCCTCCTCTGAACACTTGTTCTTTTCAAGAACACTTGTTCTTTTCTTTCACCTGGTTGTTGAGGTGCACATTCCTTCAGGACAGTATTACTGTTGTCAGAACAAAAACTAGTAGAGAAGCCACCACTTAAATTAAAAAAAAAGGTGAGGATATAAAATTAAATTAAAATTTTAATTATATTAAAAGGTAAATTGAGGCAAATTATATTCAAGTTTATCTAGAATCGTAATCAAAATGCATTTCTACACTTTTATGTTATACCCATACATTAAAACTTTTATATCTATGTTCTTATGCACTGTCATTGTCCAACTAGGTATTGAAAAGATGTTAACCACTTCTTTTTGTACTGCCCCTTTGATTCACTGTCAGTAAACTATCATTACGACACTACTACTAACAACCCTCCAGTTTTTAACTGGTAAGACACAGCCACCATTAAAAAGTTACTTTCAATCCCCAAACCAAAGGGCAGGTACAAATAGACACTGAAAACTGCAGGTGCTATATTCAGTCCAAGGTCAGGAGCAGTTTCTTCAGCAAAGAGTTTTAAAATAGCTTGCCTTCAGTATACAACAAAATACAAGACTGCATAGCCACACAAATAACCTGCTTAAGCCAAATTTATACTACAGGAAAAAATACTGCTGCTGCATCAATTAATATAAATACAGCATCATACACATTATTTCTTTCTAGATTTGTTGAGCAGCAACCAAGCATACAGCAGTGCTGCACAGCTCAGCAGCCAAAGCAAACATATTCAACAGAGATAGCTCATTTCTTCCAAGCAGACATCTCACTGGCATTTTTACCTGCAATACTGGTGTTATCTGCTCTTACAAAGAGAAGGCAGCTCAGCATTCATCCACCCACCGACCGCAACACTATGGCTATGAAAAAATTTGCTATTTGACCTCTATTTCACCAGTCCCAACACTTCCTGGAAAATCCTTACAAGTACTTTCAAGAAGGCTGCCAAATTCCAGATGAAGTTGTGAACATCCCCTAACAGCATCAGATATTTAACCCAACTCTTTTATAAAATTATACAAAGTGACATGCTACAAGTTATGGAAGACACACAAACATCCTATTCATTCTACCAAGCAGATTGTTATAAAAGCAAAAGAGATAAATTGCCTTATTAATGATAAACCATTATAAAGCCCAACAGAAGATAAAGGTATTTATATATATCTGACAGAGGTAGATTTATACACAAATGAGGAAGCAAGCTGAGACATTATCTATCACAGCAGTTAACAAAAACACATTGAATCAATTTACAAATTAAACTGAAGTTACAAAAGAGCAAAGACACGTTTCAAAAACCCCTAGGAAATGTCACAGAACATCTGCTAGTGATGCTTCCTGGGCACCAAAACCAGAAAGTATTAAAATAGGGGAAAACACAGCACATGTGATGTACTGAACGCAGTGAAAAAGGAACAATCTGCAAAACCCCTAAAAGTTTAAGGTGAGCACTCAGCTGATTGCTGACCTGATCTCTCATAGAACACAGGCTCTTAAACTTCACCCAACTGCCTCTGTATGAAGAGGCTACTAACTTATGCCACATTCCTCCAAAAAGTCATCCACCCTCATTCAAAGATATACACAGACAGCACTGTTGTGCTTCTGAATTAATTACCTTCACTGTTTTCCTCCCATATCTCTAAATTGTGGGATTCAACCTCCAGGCCTCCAGGCTTTAGTCCTTATCACAACTCTCTCTCCAAGCAGAGAGTCCTTTCTGTTCAGTGCTTTCCCCTCGTGAAGGCACGTACACATCCTAATGCTCCTCAAGCTCTTTTCTGACCAGCTGAGCTAAGTTAGATTTCTAAGCCTCCCCCAGTTTTGTTGTTCATTTTAAAGTAAAAAAAAAAAAAAAAAAAAAGAAAAAAAGTTTCTCTATACTCTCTCCATTTTTCAATAGCTGTAAATATTTCATGAAGTATGGTAGTACACCATCAGAATAGTATGCTGCATGTTAGCACCACTCTTGCAGTTGCCATATAGGGAAGGAAATAACCAGCTCCATCACTCCTGCCCCTTCGTCTCATTTACAAGCCAAAGACTGAATTAGCCTTTTTCACCACAGGGTTGTAATTAGGAGATCCTGATTTCTTTGTCCAGTAACCCCCAATCCTTTCTGTGTCTGGCTCAGCCTGCACTAAGTAATTAAAACTGCTCTCGTCAGTTGGCTGCTGCTCATTCTTACTATCAGCCCATTAAAAAAAAGGGGATTTAACAAAGAACTCAGTAACATGTCAGTAGTGATCACAAAAAGCAACAGTAGGCATGAAGAGTAAAATGAGAGCAGACAGTTTCAAATTTTGGTATTAAAAAAAATAAACATGCTGTTGACTTTTCAGTGATGCTTTTCTCAATTTTCTCAGCTTTTCCTGTAAAGTGTTTAATGCTGCTGATTATTTCTTTGATTCTGGGATTTTCTGATTTATTTATTTATTTTTATATGGTTAGCAGCTGTGAAACATCCTATCACATACTAACAGCCTAGAAAATTAAATATGACCATTTGTTCACAGAATTCATGCAAAATGACTCAGTCCTCACCTAGATAATCTGCAGCTGACTACACAGGAGTTCAGACTTGAATCAATTCGGTATCAACCATCCCACCCAAGTTTGCCAGCAGTAGTATCTATCAACTCTGATTTTAGCAATATATCTGCTAGAATTTGGACCAAGACCAAACTCATTCCATATCTGCCATCAAACAAGCAAGGGATCTAATAATCTGGCAAGATTTCAAATATTAAAATGGAAAGGGTTCTCTATTCCCTTACCAATTCCCCTAGACAGCCATTATCTTATTAAAGGAATGCTTTTTAATAAGTGAGATTTAAGTGGTTTGTGACATTACTAAACAGAGTGGGGAGCATAAGCTAATTTAGAACCTACCAAAACTGTACCAGGTGTCTGTTATATTGGCCATTAACCACAATCCTATTTAAAGCAGCTCAAAAGTCACTACAGTTGCATTTCTATAAAATCTGTCAGCTGCTCCTTGAGGAGTTTCAGCCTCATGTCAACCCTGTAAGACAGGGGGCACATCAGTCAAGTTACAGCTCATTTTGTTAACTATTTTCCCTGTATGCACCCAGTAACTTTTTGGCCTGAATATCTAGACAAGAAAAACACAATCATGCATAGTATGGTATCTGCTACCAGTTCCTGCTCAGAGGTCAGCAGTTCTGACGTGGATCAGACAGTGGCACTGAGAAAGAGGGAATTAAAGACAGCCTGGTAGCTTCATCAGTACTATCCTTTACTGTAGTGCAATGTTGAGCTTCATACTCCTGAGATGACATAATAAAAATGAATAAGTGAGTTAGAACTTGTGAATAAGTGAACCAGAACCTCCTGCCTCCGCCACAGAACAGGGGACACTCGCAGCTAGTGACAGCCAAGCTTCCAGGACCAACCCCTCGTGATGAGTATAAGGCAGAGTGAGACTTACAAGATTTTCTATGTCCGTTCGCGCCAAAACGTACGTCCGTACGTTGCCATTTTGATGCAGAAGCATGTATAGAAGAAGAGTTGCTTGATCTGATTTCTGCTGCTCACACAAAGCTGTGTATAAACTGTTAAAATTAATCTGGAAAGCGTGTGGATTTGATGATGAAAAGGCAGTGCTATCTGAAATAAAGAAAAAAAAAAAATAAAAGCTTTAACAAATACATTTGCCATCCAACTACTTGTTAACTTGATAAAAATCTCTGGCGGGGGGGGAATACAGACACCATCGTAAGGACAAAACAAAAATCATCCGTGACTCTCATCATCGATGGTAATAAACCTTAATAGGGTCTCATGAAGCTTCAGTTGTGCCAAAAAGCTGATCCTGCCACATGAGCCCCAGTAACACCCCTGCATCTGCACAAGGCATGCATCTTTCTTCATAAAGCTACTCCATTTGTCCTGATGGTTTTCACTGTTAGAAAGGAAAACAACCCCAGGAGCTGCTGCAAGGAAGGCAGCAACAGTGTCTTCTCTGGAACTGAGAGTGTCTGTTATATTGGCCATTAACCACAATCCTATTTAAAGCAGTTCAAAAGTCACTACAGTTGCATTTCTACAAAATCATGCAACCAAAACTTCCAGGTTTAGTTCAGTGGCATCAGGGTGGAGTTCTCTCCTATCCATTTTTTGGCACAAATGGCAGATGCACATAGGTCAAGACTACCAGTATATTTTCAGTGAAACATAGGTGTTGTCTGTGTGCAGTGGGAAGTTTAGTGGATTAAAGTGATTTAAAACACGACATCACATAGTCGAGCATCACTCAAAGTAACAGAAGTTTGTTCCTGTTCACAATATAATCTGTGCCAGAGCTGAAAGTGAGAATAAAACAGAAGAATAAAACAAGAAACTTTACCAGTTTCAACAAAAATGTCCATCAGCAGAGATCTCTAACATCTAGGAATTTCCAGAGGAAATGGAAAAAGCAAGTGTGACAGTCGATGCACTCATACTCAGGGCAGAAAGCCAGATTTATGTCCTTATTCAGCTTCCAGATCTCCCCAACTCAGAGATTCTGCCTTTGCTTTCCTCACCAAAAAAACTCTTTGAGAGTACAAGGTTTTGTTCCAGTGCAAAGAAGGTACATTTCTCAACTCTCAAAATGCTTCAGAAAATTTTTATAAAATAATTTTCCTGTTCAGCTCTGTTCAAATCATCCAACCCAAACATGCATCTTCTGTGATGATACATGAAGTAGGACGAGTCTTGCCTTTTTGAGCTGATTTATTTCAGCATCCTGGCAACTGAATACAAAAGCTATCTTCTCTGAGCACACAAACAAGCTAAGCTAAGCATATGGAAAAATTACAGCAATTTCAGGGCAAGAGGACATTCTGCGAGTAAGAGCGGTTTGGATACTGAAGTATACTAAAGGTCTGGACTTAAAAATTTCTGTATTTCTATAAACAAGATGTCCGAAGTTGAAGAATTTCACTAAAATTCCTTAGTTCCCACAATAACAGACTACAGATTTCTGAATTGCTTATCATTTATAAAAAATGCATTGACTTAGAAAAGCCCTGCTGCTTAAAACAGAGTGACAATACTACTGCTACTACTCCTGCACGGTGATTTGTGGACAGAGGGAGAGGGTTTTTTAAGGAGAAGAAGGAAAGATAGAGAATAAAGGAAAAAAAAAAAAAAAAACACGCAAATTTGAAAATCTGCATTTTTACAAGCCATTTTACAGCCAACTATATTACAATAACCAGCATAACAGGCCTCAACTACTGTACTTCAGCCAAACCTTTCTTTTTCCTCAAGTCCCAAAAGATTTCTCAGATATTATAGACTGCATCACCCCAGAAACGGTGAGAACAGTATCACCATGCGTGTGCCCAGGGGCAGCAACTGTGACCCAACAATTTGGCTCTTAAATGAACACTTTCATGGTTTCTTACCAAACTTTCTCCCATTCATCTGGAGAAATCTCTGTACTAGTAGGGACTGGCCACAGAAAGACTCCCCACACTCACTGAGATGTGGATGTCTTGCTTTCCCCTTTCTTTTTAGCCCGTATTCTTAGCAAAGTTTCTAACCAGCTTTCAGCATAGAAGAACGTGGCAGTTGTCACTTATTTTGAACAACATCCCCACCCTCTTTGGAAGGAAAAAGTGTTTGGAAAACCCGCAGGAGCCCCACAGGAGCTCTGGCTCCCACTGGGTTTCTGGGGGCCCGGTGGAGACGGCGTGCCGGCGAGCTCCTGCTTGTCTTGGCCTGGATGAGGAACGAGGGCTCCAGCCATTCAGTTGAACTCAGCAGGAGGCACTGGAGCAAACGCTTCTCCTTCTTGTAGGAGTGGGGAGGCACTGCTGCACGGGAGACGAGACACAGCCCATCGGCGACTGAAACCCTGCCTCTCCCCAAAACGATGTGCCAACGGGCAAAGAGACCAAAACCTGGATTTCCAACCTACTATTTCTGCCCTCACATCCCCTTCAATCACTGATCATGATTACGGACCAACTGATTTAAAATTGTCCTGCTTCAGGTGAGTATTTCTCCTTACCAGGGAAAATTTGAACACAGACAGCAAAATCAGATCAATTCATCGCGTTCTATTAAAGCAGCAACGGTTCATTAGATGAGTGAGGAGTGTCCACTGACTTTCAAGCTTCACTTCTGTGGATGTTTAAACCATGGCACTTACGTGTGTAGCACTTCACTATGGGTTTTATTAAAGGATATTTAAAAAACTGGAAAAATCTAAACAGTACTGAAGAAACTCATCAGGAAATTACCCCAACAAAAAAGCCAGTTTTCATATTATAGGCACACGCTACAGATCACGATGACTGTAACCAGCCTTTCTTTTTCATATCACTTTACCTTTACCAGCCCCTCACAGGAAGTTCACAGGAATCAAACTGAAGCTCAGTTACATGAATATCACCAGTGGAAACAAGTGATATTCATGTAACTGAGTTTGGGTGGGAAGGGACCTTTCAAGGCCATCTAGTCCAACCCCCTGCAGTGAGCAGGGACATCTTCAACCAGATCAGGTTGCTCAGAGCCCCATCCAACCTGACCTGGAAAGTTTCCAGGGATGGGGCTTCTACCACCTCTCTGGGCAACCTGGGCCAGGGTCTCACCACCCTCAGCATAAAACAATTTCTTCCTTCTATCTAGTCTGACTCACCCCTCTTTTAGTTTAAAACCATCACCCCTTGTCCTATCGCTACAGGGCCTGCTCAGAAGTCTGTCCCCATCTTTCTTATAAGCCCCCTTCAGGTACTGGGAGCCCACTAGAAGGTCTCCCTGGAGCCTTCTCTTCTCCAGGCTGAACAGCCCCAACTCTCTCAGCCTGTCCTCACAGCAGAGCTGCTCCAGCCCTCTGATCATTTTTGTGACATCCTCTAGACACGTTCCAATGTCTTTGTCTTTGCCCAAGTGCTATAAAGTTTTAGGGGATTCCTGTGGACTCTTGGATAACTGACCCACTTACAGGTCAGTTTTATTTATACTTCATGAAATTATGAAGCTTTCTAAAACTTCTGAACCAGTCTGAAGGAAAGAGCATCCTTCTGCCCCTTGCTCCTTCAGTTATGTTCCAGCAGCTAAGGAACTGCACCTCAGAATTCCCAGAAGAAAATGCATTATTACTGTTCTTCCACAGGTTGGCTGGAGGGAAAACAAATTTTGGAAAGAGAATCTTTATGCAATTGCAGCAACTTAACACTTCGTTTTCATCGGTTCATGCTTAGAATTAAGAACAGATACAAACCTTGTGTGTTCTTGAAGGACATAATAGCTTGCCTGTAGGGATTTGGTGTATCTGGAGCATCAGTTAGATTAGCCAAGACCAGGAGAAGCAGCAGACTCTGGTTAGCTAGAGGGGAGCACTGCTCCAGCTGTGGCGTTGGTTTACTCCCCACCCCACCTAGTGTGAAGACTGTCCACAGGCCAGCTGGAGAGAAAAGGGGAAAAAAAATGTTATCTGTGTTCACATTTTAATGAACAAAGCTCCTTTAGAGGAAAAGGTAGCATCTGACAGACAGGTAGAGAGAAGAGGCAAAAACAGTTCACCCCTGTACTACGAGATGACAGGTCTGGCTACTTGATTTTTCAAAATGAAAATGTTGGGAGTCACACAGCAGTGGGCATGGAGAGGTAGGAATTGAAAGACTACTGGAAATCCAAGAAAATTAAGTCATATGAATATATGAAAAAGGAATTAGGAGAGGTGAAACAAAAGGGTATGTTTGAAGGGGAGAACCTTAAACACAGAGCAGATCCCAGCCGAAGGATTCCTGTAGCAATCCTGATAACGCTAACAGGTTAAGAGAGGAAAAGGAGCTTGTATGCAGCAGCCTTTCTAATAGCACTAATTTTGGTCCATCATGCAGCATTTGGGAGCTGGACTAGATGACCTTTAAAGGTCCCTTCCAACCCAAACCATTCTATGATTCTATGATTTTTCTCATGTATTCTATTTTTTAATCAACTCAGCATATTTTAAGCAAAACACAGTAACAAAAACTAATACTGTTTAAAACTAGAACCTCCAGATTGAGAGTCCTGTAGAGATCATCATCATTGCTCATTATTGTGGGTAGACAACATAGTAGCAAATAATACACTTCTTAGCAAAAAAGCTGTATCAACAGCAATTTAAATTTAAGTGTTAATATTACTAAATTCAGCCTCATATTTTTACATTCCTACAGAAGATAAAACAACTCGAAAAAGCACTCCAGTTGGAAGCACTTACACTGCTCTGAAACTAAGGCCTTTTAAAGTGATTGCATATAAGACACAAAGGTATGGAAGTACAAACTGTTTACAATAATTTGAAGTTGAAAACTTAGTTGAAAAGAAATAAAAGTCTGAAGTGACAAATGACTATTGATACTGTAAAAAACCCAGACTGATTGATTCCTCTCGGGTAAGCAAGTTTGGGTTGTCTCACAACTGCCTCAAAAATACACAGGTAACAAAGCACCCAAACTTAACTTGTTTTAGACTTGCAAAAATTTATTAGGTTCAAAAATATAAATAGCTCACCATTCCACACCAACTCTCAGTTCTTTATTTACTATAGTAAGAATGCATGTCAGAATACCCTCCCCTTTATGTAGGTGCATATATATGATGCAAGCACAGCCCAGTGTTAAGGCTGCACCTGAAGGCTGCTCGTTAAAACTCTCATTACCATCCTGATTAAACTCTGATGTCTGAGCCTGAAATGCAGAGTCATTTTCATACTTAATCCTTACAGCATTAAAAAAAGTTAACTCCAATACTAAACTTCTCCATTTGAAATTCCCAATTGTTCCCAATTACAGTAGTGCTGGTGAACCAAGCTGACCATCTACGTGCCCAAATACCAATTAACAGGAGACTGGAAGGGAGAAGGGGAGGATTGGAGGACTTCCCTCAGCCACCTCCAGCAGACCCATGAAGCCTTTTTCCTTGCCATGACTCATGAGACTGTATTACACTGAGGAAACGAGGGGAAAAAAAGCACTAAAGCTGAGGGATTGATGCTGCAAACTCAGCACTACCAGATAAAAAGTCAGAGGAAAAATAAAACTTCCTCCCACCATGGCTATGGTGGCACATGACAAGTTCAATGTCACTGGCCTCTACCTTTATCACGTCTTGGTGCCTGACACATTCCCAGGTGATACAAAGCAGCCCCTCCCAAATCACATTGGATTATATTTGTCCACAAATGCCTGCTTAGTATTTAATTTTTTTATGGCAGAGGCTATTTATGGCAGAGGCTAAGCTGATTTCATCAAATCATCATTTTAATTATTTCATCAAATCATTAAAAGGCCAAAGTGTCCACAAATGCCTGCTTAGTATTTAATTTTGAGTGTATTTTTAAATTTTATGGCAGAGGCTAAGCTGATTTCATCAAATCATCATTTTAATTATTTCATCAAATCATTAAAAGGCCAAAGTCTTGAATTATAGAGCACAAAAAAATAAATAAACTTTTAAAAGACCCCAAAATTCTAAATCTTGAATTATAGAGCACAAAAAAATAAACTTTTAAAAGACCCCAAAATTCTAATTTCCTTTTTCATTAAGGAATTATTTCATTTCACATTAAAACTTAATTATAATAAACTTTCTTGAAGAAGACAGAAAAATTAAGAAAGTTTTGTTTCCAGTCTGCTACTCCACAAGATTCAAGGTGCAGAGGATAAAAACTTGTAAGCCATTTAAATGCAAAAATAAGTATAGCCAATTAAAAAAATGTAAAATACTCTTAGCACTACAAAATTCCAAGCCAATCGAAGAGTGTTTTTCTTCAAATGTAACTGCATAGTCAGATTTTGTAATAAACCAATGTTCCCTCCATTAACACAAGTGCAAGGTAATTACTGCCGTATCAAGGGCAAGGGAACCAATGCCATTCAGTGTCACGCAGCCTGAAGGAGCTCTTACAATAAAAAGCCCTTTATTTACAGCCTTCTCAGCAAAAAATTCATGTTGCATTAATAATCCTTTATCATCATGTTCCTGATCCACTGTCCTTACATCAGAACAAAGCTGACCATGAAGTTAGCTTTTAAAACTCATGAGCTACCCCGATAGGTAACATGCAAAGAAATTATTGTTAAAAAAAAAAAATATTAATTAACCATATAGTTATCATCATTTGTTAAATGAATGCAAATTCAGCACATTTCCCCTCAAAGCTTAGTGTAGTTCTCAGTTAAGCTAGTATTTTTAATTTTCCAGCACCCCACCCTTCTGTGGTCGGCATCTGCCATTACTACACCTTTCCTCAAGAGTTAGGAAAAGAGGGATATGGCCAAAATACTGGTGAGTAAGTTGAATCTTCCACCAAGGAGAATGAGGTAATTACGTCCAAGATAAATCTGTACATTGACGTGTGACTCAAGTAACCTCCTGAAATGGTACCTCTTGTTGGCCAGTGTGCTCCTCCAGAAAAGCAATGCCATGCTAATGGATTAATAATATTCCTTTCTGTTCCAAAATGCAACATCAAATTAGGTGCTAAGGATTGCTTGGTGCTCCCAATGTACTCAAGTTAAGGGACATTTCTACCAAAAATATTGTTTCTGATCATTAATAGCAGATTAAATAGATAAAGAGCTCAAGAGGACGGAGAAATAAGTAGCCAATGTTTCTAGTTTTATTCTTTATGTTAGCAATATTTGAAATATCGCATTGCTACACCTGGTTTTACATTTATATAAATTTCAAAATTAAGTTATATTTAAAGTTTGTTAGCAAAAGAAACAAAACTAAAGTAATGCCACAACTCTTTAGAAGGCCTCCTCACCATCTTCTTCTCAGATCTAAAGCTACAGTTAACAAAAAAATAAATATACAAAGAATAACGTTGATAGGAAAAAAAAGTGCCCAGAATCGCACTTCAGATTCTGCTTCACTGGAACATCACAGAGTAACAGAATAAATGGGAAAAAAATCTCATGTTTAAAAATCCTGTTTAAGCCAACAGCATAGCCACAGGTAGCTCTAAGTATGGAATAAAATTTACCTAGACATTTGAACACACAGTGCTTGGATTTCTTTCACGTTCAAATTTAACTTTAAATTTCATCTACTCGAATTCTCTTGTTATTCTTGTATGTGTCCCGAGGGAAATGCAAATGACAGAATTTTCCTTAAAACTTCCTGCATCTCTGGACAGGGGCAAAGATGAGCTACAATTCTCAAACCTAAACAGCTCAGCTGTGAAGAGGATGAATAGCATCATGACCCAAAACACTTCAGAAGCTCTATAAATTTTTGAAAAAGCTCTACATTATCAAATACTTTCTGGTGCTAATTATAAGCCTGATGAAGTTAATAGTCCATAACCCTAAAAAGGTCTCCTCAACTTTTAGTTATTTGGATGCCTGATTACATCCATACAATTTACTGTTTTCTGTAAAATACTTGCGCAATCTGTCTTTAATTGCAATTCTTTTCATTTTATTTCTCTTCTTAATTCCACACGGAACCACACTCACTACAATTTTTCTCAATTAGAGAAATAATAAAATTTAGCCAATTCTTTCTGGCAAATACACAGATACTTTGAGAAGGAACGGACTGTTTTTACCTTTAAAACAGAATGAGAAGATCCATTTTTTCCTTTTCTTCCACAAAATTACCCATCACAACTTCTTTTTTTCCCCTATTCATACAAATCTATGTAAGGCACAGCAAAGAAAATAGGTCTTGCTTAAGAACAAGGTATGGGGTTTTTTGTAATAAAGAATATAAGGTCATCTGCAAGATGGTTAGAAACACTGCACATAGCCATGAAAACAAACACAGGATTTTAATCTAGTTTGACACTCTGTGGAATAACACTTCATGGCCAAATGAAGTTATGACACATTCATCAAAAAAGAACTTTCTTTCACCAGACTGCTCTTTAATGTAAACACAATTCTGCAGAAATCTCTGCCTAAAGCTCTGCCCTGTTACACAACAAGATACAAATAAGGTTCACATTTGTACCTACCTCGAGAACAGTTTAAATGCACTGATTTACTTTCACATGACTAAGCAAAATTTTATGAGGTTGATGTTAAAGACATTTTAAAACCAAAAAAGTAGGAGCTTGGACGGTACTTTAAAACTATCCTTATTATGAAGTACTGAAATTTACAGACAACTGAACCTCTAGCACTGCATATCATTTTTTCAAGTTAGTCTCTCAACAAAGTGTGATCCACAACTGATTCGTGAGCTTTCTTGGGATATTTATTAAACTAGTTGTAATTCTTCCACAAAACACATCATATTCACTTTCCAACCTTCAGCGTACAGGCTTGTAAGATAAACCCTGACAAGAGTGTTAAATCAATGCAGAGGAAATTGGTTTTACTTATTTCAAAGCATGTTTCTGGAAAAAGGAGTCATTTTTTTCATTTTTTTATTTAATAGCAGTTGCAAAATTCAATCACATTA